CCTCTTTATTTAAATCTTTACTTCTTCTGGAATTAATTTCATTTTAGATATGGCATGCTGTCAATATTTTCTGCAAAATAAGGAACTACAATTGTAATTATCTACTTAACTAAAGTGGTATTTAGAAAATTGGTTTAAGTTCTCAGCTCTTTTCTCTACCTGTAGCATGGTTAATTGCCGTGCAGGGGTCTTCTCTAGTTGTGGGGAGCAGGGGTTACTCTCTAGTTGAAGCACAGGTGGCTTCTCTTGTTGGGGAGCACAGGCTCGAGGGCACACAGGCTTCAGTAGCTACAGCGCGTGGGCTCAGTAGTGTGACACACGGGCTTATTTGCTCTGAGGCATGTGGGATCTTCCCGGACCAGGGATAGAACCACTGTCCCCTAAATTGCAAAGCAGACTGTTAACGACTGACCACCAGGGAAGCCTGACACAAGGGAATTAAGTGATGATTTGGTCAAGGTTAGAGGGACCACAGGAAGTAGTCAGAAAAGGGAACAGTAGCAAAGGTTCAATAGTCTCCATGCTTCCACTGCAGAGCGTGAGGGTTTGATCCCTGGTCGGAGAACTAAGATCTGCATGCCACGCAGTGTGGCCCACCATCCCCTCCCCAAAAAAGACTCAATAGTGCTTACTCTGGGCCAGGCACTGGTCTCAGGACAGTTTACAGATGAAGAAAGTAAGGCATGAAGAGGTTAAGTAAATTGTCTAAGATTACTCAACCGGCAGAACTTAAGTCACTGTTCTTCACCACCACATTATGAAAGTGGTTTAAAAAGGTTCTAAATGTGAGTCACAGATAGAAAAGTTGGTGCCAAGTCCTTCCTATTTCATAGCCAATTGCCATAACAAATTCCCCTGTTTGGGACTTAATGACATGCTCCTTGTCGCTGTCATTGAGACTGGAAGATTTCCATTGCTGCTGCAAAGACTTAAAGAAAATGCAATCACTGAGGGAGAAATTCTCCATGAGGAGAGAAAGGGCCTGGGAGGGAAGATTTGGTTAAGAGACACAGTAAAATGCGGAAAAAACAAACATGGGGCTGGGATTCAGGAGGTTATGGAACAACCATTCAACCTCAATCACAGGGTTCAGTCTGGAATGTCTAACAAAAAGGTCAGAAGTGTCACCAAAGTGAAGTGACCCCACTAGGCAGCTAGTAAACAGAAGAGAGAAACTGACTAAGCTATAGCCCAATCATTGTGTGAAGCAAAATCTGGTTGACTGAACACACTGCATACCTGTAAATGATCTTCTTCATGATTCACTCATAATTTGGCAAAGTGGCTTTGCCCAAGAAGGATCCAAGAAACAGGTAGTCATACTGAAAACCACTAGGGGGCAGTTCAGTTCAGTTCAGTTGCTCAGTTGCGTCCGACTCTTGGCAACTCCATGGATTGCAGCATGCCAGGCTTCCCTGTGCATCGCCAGCTCCCAGAGCTTGTTCAAATTTATGTCCATCAAGTCAGAGATGCCATCCAACCATCTCATCCTTTGTTGTCCCCTTCTCCTTCTGTTTTCTATCTTTCCCAGCATCAGGGTTTTTCCAGTGAGTCTGTTCTTTGCATCAGGTGGCCAAAGTATTAGAGTTTCAACTTCAGCGTCAGTCCTTTCAATGAATATTCAGGGTTGATTTCCTTCAGGATGGACTGGTTGGATCTCCTTGTAGTCCAAAAGACTCTCAAGAGTCTTCTCCAGCACCAGAGTTCAAAACCATCAATTCTTCGATGCTCAACTTTCTTTATGGTCCAACCCTCACATCCATACATGAATACTGGAAAAACTATAGCTTTGACTAGACAGACCTTTGCTGGCAAAGTAATATATCTACTTTTTAATATGCTGTCTAGGTTGCTCATATCTTTTCTTCCAAGGAGTTGTGTCTTTTAAGGGGGCAGTACCATGGAGAAAACAGCAGGGGGAGTGGCCTCCCAAGGTCTCACTCGTTAGAGAAGAGCATGTATTTGGTTCTCACCATCCGTGGAAGGTACTAGCAGTGCGCAGCAAGAAGCCTCCTCTTCCATCAAGGTGGTTTCCTTCTTCTCTGCAACTATGTTTAATAGCAAAACAAGGGACTTCCCTGATGGTCCAGTGTTTAAGACTCTGCCTTCCAATGCTGGAGGCTCAAGTTCAATCCCTGGGAAATTAAGATCCCACAAGTCCCATGGTGTGGCCCAAAATTTTAAAAATAAATAACAGTACTAGGGAAAACAAGACTCATCGTTTCAGACTTTGGCTTTGAGGTCGATCCAGGGTGTACCATGGGGCGCTGTGCTGTCTTGACCACACGACATGGGGCCCGTCCTCCAGGCCCACCATGGCCGAACCTATTGCTTTATCACAGACCATCTTTATCAGGCCTCTCAGAGCTTCTGGTGAGGCTCAGGACAACAGTCACACATCTGTTTCAGGCGACAAGGGGGAAGAGACGGCTTCTTTCTTACCTCTCTCTCTCTCAGAGCTTTTGCTCTGCAAAGCAGTGTTCCTTTCAGAATGAAGTTGCCAGCATCCTGCCAGACACAGATAACAAAAGTCAGCACCCATGTGAGCCAACTCCTGGTCTCTTTCTGAAACTCTCCAATTATAAGAGTTCTCCCAGTGCTCAGCTCCCACCTGGGACCTCTGGTCACTAGTGTTGGCTGCTTATTTTGTCTGAAATGTCCTTCTCTAATTCCCTCCTCCCTTGGGCCTGCCTAATTCCCATTCATCCAGTAGGAATTACCTTGGTCACCTCCTCTAGGAAGTCTATCCTGACCGCCCCCAGGTTACACAGTAAACGACTCGTGTATATGGCCCCAGCATGCTGTGCTAAGCTCATTACAGCATTTATCAAGCTGTAAAACATTTTCTCTTTTCTCCCACTCAACTATAAGCTTCATCAGGGAAGGGTGTGTGTCTGGACCATTGTGAATAACCAGTATTCAAGAGAAGAAACATTTAGGGCCTTGACAAATATTTGTGTGCATGCATGCTCAGTTGCTAAGTCACGTCCGACTCTTTTGCAGCCCCAGGGACTGCAGCCCACCAGGTTCCTCTGTCCATGGGGTTTCCCAGGCAAGAACACTGGAGTGGGGTGTCATCTCCTTCTCCAGGGGACCTGCCCTACCCAGGGATCAAACTCGGATCAAACTCATGTTTCCTGCATCTCCTGCTTGACAGGTGGATTCTTTACCACTGAGCCACCTGGGAAGCCCTGACAAATCTTTGCAGGATGAACTGATGTTGGAACCAGGCAGGTGCAGGAAAATAATCATTTAGGAGTGGGATGGTCAAGAACACAGGTACTGGTGTCAGACAGACCTGGGTTAGAATCCCAGTCTTGTCACTGATTCCAGCTAAGTGATGTTACACCTCCTTAAGCCTTAATTCCCTCATTTATAAAACAACAATGACAATAGATAATTATTAGCTTTGTTTTTTATTACAGGACCTACCTCAGGATTGAAATAAGGATCGGATGAGATGTTCTGAATGCTTACAACAGAACGCAGCCCGTTCTAAAGGCTTGACAATCCTTAGCAATATGCCCACCCCTCCCCCAATGCTGGCCTAGCCTTTCCCCTGCAGGAGTGGATTTGAAGAGAAAAAAAAAAAATCATGAATTTGCTTAGAAAATCCTGACATTCATATTTGAAGAAAACAAAATCGGACTGTTTTTCAAAGACAGCCTCCCATCAGCCAGAAGCCGATTACTCATCTTTTAAGGAGATGAGTAAATATCTTTTGCACTGTCATCCGGGAATGAGTCACAGCAACGGAGGGTCTCGTTTCCAAGGGCGCATTTGAAGTGTGTCTCAAGAGCCCTTTGTTCCAGAACTCGCCACTAGGTGGCAGCCGAGCCGGGGACCCTCGGACAGGAGAGCGGCCTGACCCTTGAGAGGGTTTGCGCAGGCCGCAGTGCTTGGAAACAAATAGCTGACTCACCCAAGGAGTGTTAGCCCTGAAAATGACAAGGGCTTATTTCAACAGCGTGTAAAATATACCGTCCCCGGGCCAAGAGTAGTACTATAGACCCGGGAAGCCTGAGGGTCACCTCCTCAGAAATAAAAAATTCAGGCCATTGACAAATGAAGACCCAAGAGCTTATAAACTATTTTGGACACGTTATAAACTTGATCCCAAGATAATTAAGTGATAGTGCAAACAGCCTTATCTAGCTGTGTGTCTTCCCTGTTTAAAAGCCTGCAATGACCCTGTGGGGGTTTCTTAACCAAGAAGCTGGAGTCTGATGTCAGGATCTCCAGGGGAGCAACCCTGCTTTGAGAAAGAATATTCAATATGCCTGTTTTTCTCTTTTCTTTCCTTTTTCTTTTTGACCGCTTCACAAGGCGTGTGGGATCTGTTCCCCAACCAGGGATGGAACCTGGCCCCTCTGCATTGAAGGCAAAGTCTCAACCACTGGACCACCAGGGAAGTCCACGCCTACTTTCTTCATAATACAAACAGAGGAAGGAAAGCTTTGAGGGGGGTCTATCTCATGGCTGTATGCAAACGATAGAGTGAAAAAGCCTTGACAGGGCATGACATTTATTTTAAAAGGTATCAGAAACATCGACACAGTATTAGCAACAATAATGATAATGAACATTTATTAAGGATTTAATATGCACAGTTGATTTCCTGTAGCATTGACAGGTTTGCTCTCCTTGCAGTCCAAGGACTCTCAAGAGGCTTCTCCAGCCCCTCAAAGTGAAAGCAATATATAGTAATATGTTACTATGTGTAAAGTAGCTAGCTAGTGGGAAGCTGCTATATCATACAGGGAGCTCAGCTTGGGGCTCTGTGATGACCTGGAGGGGTGGGATGGCGGGTGGGAAGGAGGCTCGGGGGAGGGGAAATATGCATATGTCTCGCTGATTCATGTTGTACAACAGAAACCAACACAATATTGTGAAGCAACGATACTCCAATAAAAAAATAAATTTAAAAAATACAGCATTGCTTGCCTTGAAGGCTTTGGGAAACCCTCCTGTCTGTCTTCTTTCAAGGGCAGGGCCCCAGCTCACATTGCTCTCGCAGACACGCAGGCTTTGCCTGTGTCCTCCTGGCCATTTGTCATCGCCTCGGACATTGCTTCCTCTACAGAACCCCGATGGCCACCATCCACGTTCCTGGGGCTCTCTTCTCTGCTGATGGGGGTCTCCGTCACAGCTAGAACCCTGGAACGCTGGCACGTTCCACTTACTGCCTTAGGCCCGTTTGTCTGCCTCCCGCACTGGACTTCCTGAGGACCCGACTTGCTCTTGTTCATTCTTGGCTGTGCAGTCTAGCTCAGCGCCTGCCACAAAAGAGATGCTCAACATTCCAAACGTTTACCAAATGATCTTAAATATCCTGTTTTTTTCTCAGGATGGAGAGTGCAACACCTTAAACCAGGGGTGTCCTTGCCTGGAGAATTCCATGGTTAGAGGAGCCTGGCGGGCTACAGTCCGTGGGGCCCCGAAGAGTCAGATACAACTGAGCGATGACACTTTTCACTTTCCCCAGCCCCTGGTTAGGAACCAGGCGGCCCAGCAGGAGCCGAGTGGCACCCTCACTGCTTGCATTACTGTCTGAACCACCACCGCCTTGCATGGAAAAATAGTCTTCCACAAAACCCATGCCTGGTGCCAGAAAGGTTGGGGACCGATGCTTTAAACCATACAACTGACCTGTATTTAAGAGCTGGGGGAGGGGGGAGTCCATGCAATCCCAGTTGTCAGCTCCTGTTCTCAAGTACGTTCCAAGACAGGACAAAGTCTGGGACACTGGGCATGGTTGAGGCTGTTAAAGCGACATTGGCAACTTGCCCCATGGGGCTTCTTTTGGAGCCTGTGTATGCCTGACTAGAGACCCCGGTTTAGAGCAAGGAGCTGGGGGGCGTCCCTCTGGTCCCTTTCTTGATGCTCCCTCTGGTTCTCAGTGAGGGCTGGGAATTCTTCCAAGGAGGAACTCCACAGTCAGCAAGCTTTTTCACAATTTATTTCAGGCCGTTTGTCTTCTTCTAGGTGTGTGGCACTGGAGGGCTGAAGCTCACAGCCACTGTCCTAAATCCCTTGCAGGTATAGATGTGTGCAATTTTTACATGATACAGATGCAGTGTCAAAGCACTGCTTCCAGGGTCAATTTAGTGCTCCCCATGGGCACAGAAGCATTGCAGTGAACTTGCTGCCTTGGCAAGAGATACCTTCCGAAATCAGCCTCTCCTGAGAACTCCATCTCCTGAGTTTATAGCAAGTGTTCAGTATGCCTCCTCTAAGAGCCGAATAAAATGCCTATTTCCTGGTCCTGTCTAGCTAAAGATCTCAAAAATGTATTGTGAATATTTTACGCTCATGGTGAAATTGAGAGACTAATGTAACAAACATCTCTCCTCTGTCACCCACTTTGTCACATGTTCACATTTTACTGTGTTGTTCCCAAATTCTTTTTCTTAAGATGTAAATTACAGATACGGATGAAGATTCCTTGGGGGTAAAAGCTCCAAATCTCATCCCTGTCTCCCTTCACAATCTTGAATTTTAATGTTTATCATCTTCAATAGTTTTAAACATTGACTACATATATATGAATCCATAAACAAGATGTAGTGCTGTTTTTGAACTGTTTTAGCAGTATAAAAATGACATACTACCACACTGATCTTTCTGTAAATTGTTTTCTTCACTCAATAATATTATTTTTGAGATTTTAAAATATTGATACACATAGGACTAGCTCATTCACTCTAACTACTGAATTGTAAGAATAGATGGTTGCTTTATTTTTTCTGTGATTTGTGAACATTTTGTTATTCCTCTTTTTTTTTTTCCTGCAAAAACAGTACCACAGTGACCTGTCTTATACGCATCTACTGTGCAATTTGAGAAAATATGTCCAGAGCAGAATTGGTGGGTTATAGAATTAGATATCTTTGACTTCACTAGATATTGCCAAATTGTTTTCTGAAGTGGTTGTATCAATTTATATGGCCAATAACAATGTCAAGGTTTCCATTTTTCATGTCCTTGCTTCTTCTATATGGAAAAAATTTCAAACTTACAGAAACGTTTCCAAAATGGTACAATGAACACATGTATCTACTTTCTTTCAACATTTACTAACATTGTGCTACATTTGTTTTTCCTTTCTCTTCAAAATTTCTTCCCCTTTTGTGTTCTGTTTCCAAATGATACATATATTGAAACACATGTATACATACATAAATAAAGATATGTAATAAATACAAATAAATTTTTAAATATGTATGTATCTATCCTAGAACAAAGATATTCTCCTACATAACATAATGCAATTATTACACTCAGGAAATTAAACACTGAGATAACTCTATTACCTATTATATAGGCCAGATTCAAAGTTCTCCACTGAGCTAATAGTGCTCTTCATAATTTTTCCTCCAGTCCAGAATCTAATCAAGGATTGAACATTGTATTTAATTGCCATATATCTTTGGTCTTCTTTAATTCCCTTTAATCCAGAAAAATTCCCCAGCTTAAAAAATAAAATTCCATGACATCAATATTTTTTCTCCTTGCCAACTCTTGATAACATCAGACTTTTTCATCTTTGCCACATTGACAGGGAGTGAAATATCTCATTGTGATTTTAATTTGTTTTCCCTTGATTCCTAGTGCAGTTGAGAAAACTTACATAGCATATCGGCAATTCAAGCATCAAAAATATTTTCTGTTTAATATCTTTTGCCTGTTTCAGTACTTTTTAGTTTGCATTTGTTTTTACAGATTTATGAAAGTTCTCTATATATTCTGTAAACCAAATAATTGTCAGTTAAAGGCCATGTTAGCTATGATGCTTGGGTAGATTGTTGAACAGAGGTTTTTAATTTTAATAATCAAATGTATCAATGTTTCCCTCAATGATTTGTGACTTTGCAAAAAGTCCTTTCCCATCTCAAATTCATAGGACATTCTCATAAAGATAATTTTAGATCTTTTATCCACTTGAAATCTATTTTGTGCATATGATAAGTATCTAATTTCAACTTTTTATATGTAACGTACTAGTGCTACTTATTACAGAGCCCATCCTTTCTCTTTTTTTTTTTATTTTATTTATTTATTTTTTTTATTAGTTGGAGGCTAATTACCTTACAACATTGCCGTGGTTTTTGTCATACATTGAAATGAATTAGCCATGGATTTACATGTATTCCCCATCCCGGTCCCCCTCCCACTTCCCTCTCCACCCGATCCCTCTGGGTCTTCCCAGTGCACCAGGCCCGAGCACTTGTCTCATGCATCCAACCTGGGCTGGTGATCTGTTTCACCCTAGATAATATACATGTTTCGATGCTGTTCTCTTGAAACATCCCACCCTCGCCTTCTCCCACAGAGTCCACAAGTCTGCTCTATACATCTGTCTCCACTGATTCTTAATGCACCTCTGTCATAATCAGGTTTCCATATAACTAGCATTATGCTCTTTTCACTCAAGAGTGGAACTGGTGGGTCATAGGTCATAGACACCTATATCCTTACTAGATATTGTATAATTGTTCTATAAACTGATTGTATTGATTTATACTGCCAATAACAATAACAAAGTTTCCATTTCTTCATGCCCTTACCAACTCTCTTTTGGGAAAAATTCCCTTGCTCTATTTATCTGTCCCTATTTGATTTCTCTGGCAGCTCAGTGGTAAAGAATCCACCTGAGATATGGGTTCAATCCCTGGGTCGGGAGGATCCCCTGGAGGAGGGCTTGGCAACCCACTCCTGAAATTGAATTCAGGAGTATTCAGTATTCTTGCCTGGAGAATCCCATGGACAGAGGAGACTTGTGGGCTACAGTTCATGGGGTCTCAAAGAGTTGGACATGATTGAGCAGCTAAACAACAACAAGCCAATATTACACTATCTTAGAGTAGGTTCACCTTTGCAATAAGTGCTATTATCTGGTAATGGTGGAGGTCCCAAAAGGAGGATGAAAGATAGGTGAGGCAGAGCCAAACTTACTCACCTATACCTTAGCTGACGTCTGTCTCCCACTCACAGACACACATTGGCTAATTAATGCTTGTTGATGAGTCTCCTGAGATTTTTCGGTTGTTTATCAGTTAGCATTAGAAGAATATTGTGAAGATGAAATGAGCAAGTCCCAGTGAAGTGCTTGGTACAAAGTAAGCCCTCTGTAAATATAAGCTATTATTCAATTTCAGTTAATGGCAGTGAATTAGCTGAGTCACTCAAGCTAGAGACCTGGGGCTCATGAATGATTCCTATTCTGTGCGTCCACACACAATAACCAAGTCCACTGATTCTGTGTGCATGCTAAGTTGCTTCAGTCGTGTCCAGCTCTTTGCAACCCCATGGACTGTAGTCCACCAGGCTCCTCTGTCCATGGATTCTCCAGGCAAGAATACTGGGGTGGGTTACCATTCCTTCGTCCAGGGGATCTTCCTGACCCAGGGACTCAGCCTAAATTGCTTATGTCTCCTGCATTGGCAGATGGGTTCTTTACCACTAGTGCCACCTGGGAAGCCCCTACTGATTCTACTTCCTTGGTATTTCTCACAGTGGTTCCTCCTCTCCCTCCTTGGTCCTGGCTTCCCTGCTGGCTCAGACAGTAAAGTATCTGCCTGCAATATGGGAGACCCGGTTTTGATCCCTGGGTTGGGAAGATCCCCTAGAGAAGGGAATGGCAACCCACTCCCATATTCTTGCCTGGAAAATCCCACGGACAGAGGAGACTGGTGGGCTGCAGTCCGTGGGGTCGCAAAGAATCAGACACGACTGAGCGACTTCACTTTCCTTTTCCTTGGTCCCTGTTCTGGTTCAGGTCCTCATGGCTGCTTATCTGAATTACTGGGCTCCCGGCAGCTCTTCTTGTTCTTCCAGTTCTTCCTCCTTGGTACTACCAGAATGATATTTCTAAGATGCATTTGATTGTGACAGTCCTTGGTGCCTTGAGAATAATATACTGACTAGCTGTGTGGCTCTGAGTAAGCTACTTAACACCTCATGTCTTTGTTTCCTAATCTGTAAAGTGGGATCATCGCAATATCTCTTAGAGCTGTTGTAAACATGGGATCTCATTCAGGTGTAGCACATGGTATATGATAAGCACTCTGAAAATATTACTTCCAGCCATTAGTTTCTCATTTTCTTTATGTGATACCTGATGCTGGTTTTGTCTCCAGCGTCCTTATTACTTTCCTTCTTTTAAGCAGTCTCTTAAGTCTTAGCCATGTAGTTCAGGTTGGATTGACCCCATCCCAACTCCAGAGGTGAGTCCCAATTGACATAGGAG